GCAATGGCTGCAACGTTTAAGTAGAGACGGCAATTAGAAAGATACTGTTGAGGGGATATAGAGATACAGATTTTGATAACATAAACGGATGCATATCACATTTTTCCACTAGATAAAAATATGAAGATAAATGCGCGCACTCTAAAATTTTTATTTTTTAATGTTGTGTGTCGGTTAGGTCAGCCAGCATTCATCAGCTGTCCTTAAAATGTATTCGGCATGGCATTCGATTCACGAACGTTACTTTTTTGTAGCGGAATTTACATCACAATACAATGAATGTAATCGAATTAACATAACAGATCGCCTTTTTAGGTCACTTTACGTACATATGAACTGGCGCGGACAACATGATACATAAAAATATATAAGATTTTGTTAAATATTGGCTTGTACAGTCAAAGCCTACTTATAAATAAAAAAACAATGTAAATACGATTTCATAACGTCAGCCTTTTTACATCGCACTGTTGGACATTTTCCTTTTTAAGAAAATTGTTTATAACCTTAAAAGAGCACACTTAAACTTTTTGCTATGCTCTTTCATTTAATGATTAGACAGATGAACTTTAACAGTATTATTTTATTTGTAATTTATTAGATAATTTTAATGGTAACTAGTTCAAAATGATCGGAGTACGCATGGAGAATTGCTGCCATATATAAGCTGATGCTGCAAACTGCGACCTAGCAGCTTTGTACTCAATGAAAAGGCGTGCTATAGGGATATAATTGGTGCCTTAAATTGGTTGAAACAATCTCACCACTACCGAGCTCAGGTGCAAAGTAGCGTTTCGTGCACAGGAATTTCATAACTTAATACCTCCTTCTTCCTTCCACCTTCGGACAACAAGACGCTTGGCTCGTCTTCACCCCTTCGTTGTCGACATACCATTCGAACTAAACTGCTTCACCGTTCGTGATGAGTACAGCAAAACGAGTGGAACAAGTTACCAGCATCTGTCTTTCCATCCGATTAAAATGTGGTTGCCTTCAAGGCAAGAGTGAATAGGCTTTTGTTAAGCAAAGTCAGTGCGTTTTGCCTCGGTTCCATCTTCCATGGCATCTTCGGTTGCATCACCACTTACTATAAGGTGGGATAGTGAAGCACTGCCTCCTGCAATTATGGCACCACTGTGTGATATCTTCAAGTTATGAAGTTGGTGTTTATTGTGTTGGCGATTCAAAGTATTTTATTAACCGGCTTCAAAAAAAAGAAGGGGGACTCTATTCGACTATTTTTATTTTATGTGGTATACCTCAGAACTCTTTTCTAGGGGAACCGATTATGATGATTCTATTTTTATTTGAAAGCTGATGATCTCATATAAATTGATCAAGATCTGACCAGTAGATTTTGAGTTATCCTTACGTAATAATGCCTATTTATTTGTCGTGGACTACATTGATAATGTTCTCATTTTATTTATATTGAAGTTGGTTATGCAAAATTTTTAATTTTACCACTTCTTTTTTTTTAAATTAACTAGTTTTGTCCTTATCGCGATGAATGAGTTGGATAAAATTGTAGATAACAATTTAATGGTGCTAGCCACGGGCGTAGCCAAATTTTTTTCTGTGGTAGACCAAAGGTTTAAACGTGGTTGAGCCACGCCTGCTGTATTAAGTTTGCAGCATAAATTGGCTCGACCGGGGAAAGACCACGATCTCACGGAATACTAGCATTATATACGTGGTAGAGCCATGCTACAGTTATATTAGTAGTATAGTTGTAGCACGAATGGGTCGGCTCGACCGGGGAAGGACCACGCTCTCACAGAATACCAGCGTGAAATAGTAGCTTAATGCTGCTGTATTTCGTATGGTGAGTGTAGGGAACCGGAGACCCTTTTTACTGGAAACGAGGCATTCCATCTTAGTCCTCACGGGTTACAACGCATCTGCATTTTGATTCGTAATCGAGGATAGATGTAGATGTCTATGGGCCACAGCAACCACTTACCATCAGGTGGACTGTGTGCTCGTTTGTCACCTATCCTATAAAAAAAAATATAGCGGCTTCGTGTGGTAAGTGAAAATAATTTGAAAACCTTTTTTACAACGAAGCATTCTGTCCCAGCCTCCAGAGGTCGCATCTATGTTTTTAATCATTTCTTTATGTCTACGGGCTACAGCATCCATCTACCATCACGACTGTATGCTTGTTTGTAACCATAATTAAGGCACTGCAATTTTCTCTCAAATGGAGTTAAAAACACCAAGTGGTAGCACCACCTAGTAGGGGCATTAGATTTTCGATGGGGTCGTGCATCTTCCCGTAGATACTTTTTCTAGCTACGCTCATGGTACGAGTCCCCGGTCTCAAGTAGTGCGTACTATATCTACACGCGACTCTTTGTAGAGTTTCCAAAGTCAATTATTAGGTGCTATAATCCATAAGAGAATTAAGAAAATATAACAAATATTGGCCAGTAGAATTCTTGTGTGAAAATCATTACGAGGGTCTTGCGCCTTTGTATTGGTGGTTGCTCTTGTATAGTTTGAAAAGCCAACTTCTGTTCTTCTTAAGTTAAAGAACACCGATGCCTTCCAAGGATGATTCGCAGGACTAATGAAATAAAAAAAACATCCTAATTTCAATAGAGAAGATAGCTGGGTACTACCATATATTTGGAATCCTATAATTAATAAAATTAAATCCTAACCCAAACAAACAACTGCAAGATTTCAAGAAACTTTAAGTTCATACTGAGTAGATCGGAACAAAAATTAAAAATTTTAACTATGACATTGGGACGTCGAACACCTCAGTACCCCCCGTGACCATAAAGTATTCGAAAGCTCGAAACGTCGGGAATATAAAATAAGTTAATATATGCGATAAAATTCGTTAAAATTAGTTTTATTTAAATGTGTAGTGTTCGCGTAAATATAAGAAATAATTATATTTTTATTATTACTGCCTCCCCTTTACACCATAAGATATCCCACGCATGTTCGGTCACTACCCCTTCGTTGTTTCTTCTTAATTCATTCGGTCTGAGCAGTTTCCTTCGTCGTTCGCAAAGCGTACTGCATCTGATTTTTCATCCGATGGCAATAAATTATCGACTGTAGGGTTATCAGGCTACTTGCCTACTACGCCTCGGCTCCTGGATTCGATTCCCAGTCGAGTTCAAAACTTTCGTTATTTGACAGTCTGTGTCTTTCACTGCATCGTATTCTACCGTTGATTTTATTGTCTTAGCTTTACATCGGGTATTGGAACATAAGGGAGAATAAGTATGGTGTTTTTAAGCTTTGCGGGTAGAGTTGTGGCGTTATATTTTATCCTGCACAGTTAATTGCTTCCGAGTTTTTTGGATACTGTTGCCGTATCAAAAATCGACAAGATTTCATCACTATCATCATCATAATCGTCACTGAATTGACAGTTTGCCCAGATAGTGTTAAAATCAAATTAAGACCTACTATCTAGTTCCTGGAATGTTGAAAGTTTGACGTGATTTTTGCGTAATAGAACCACACTGCAGCAGGAATGCGTCGACTCCACCAGGGAAGGACCACGTTCGCACAGAATACCAGCGTTAAAGGGAGTCACACGCTACGCAGATACGATAAGATATCTGTATCTGAGCGCATATCTTTCAATATCGCTCTGTGTGAAATTCAATGAATTAACACACAGCGCAGATAATTTATATTTTATCGTTACGTATCTCTAAACACCAACCTATACGGAATGTAAATACAGAATTGTCGCTAAAAATACGGTTACATTCAGTCCTTTTAAGCCTTATAAGACGTTCTATCCAAATTATTTTGGTAAATGCAACACGTTCATCAAAATTACAATCTGAATCCTCATCTCACGAGCTGCCTGGCCAATCCAGAAGCAATATACGCCAACTCATTGTAGGTAACACTCTGTATAAGTAATTCGCTTCAAAAAACAAGTCTAGTAAGTTTGAAGGATTTCAAGTGGATGTATCATTTCGTATATTATCGTATCGTGGTGTGTGATACTTTAGGATAATTAAGTTATTATACCCAGATAAAACATTATCGTATCTGCGTAGTCTGTGATTCGCTTAATTTAGCAGCATAATGCTGGATTTGATTGTCCATACTTCAAAAAAATATGAAAAATCTAATTTCCTGCAATTTATATCCAGACATTAATTGATGTAGAGCAGCGATTGAGGGATGTCTGATAGTTCCATTTGCTGGCAAGCTTCTTGCTTTTTTTAATTACACAATAGTATTCTATACTGATTAACTGGCACTCGAGGATGTCATCCTGGATATCGTCATTCAATTGTTTCCTTAACAATTTACGTAAATTATTAGTTAGTTTACGCAACGTACGGATGTCTTTGCAACATCGGTAAAATAAAACGGCAGCTAGGCACTAACTAATAACATATTATTGAAACCCTGTTATTTTGGATACGCTTCTTCGACCCGCACGTTACAAAACATAATATCGTTTTTGTGTCATACCTCAACATTATCATTCGTTTTCACTATCGTTCGACGCTCGTCACTCTATTGTAAATTATAGTTAGTAGCACCATAATAAACTTCAAGGTCGTAGAGTAGTGGGGGCCGGCGCACGGCAGATGCATTCATGCGCCTTCAGTTGCAGAGGACTGAAGATACGACCGCGTACCTATACCTGATTGATTGTGGCCAGGTGAAGCCCGATAGGTACTCGAGAATTTCTTAAAACACGTTAAACGCTTCGGAACTATCTTTTACATAATGACGTAGAATTCGGTATATTTGATCAGGTGAAGTGGGAAAAATACCATACAAGTGTTTTGGTATTCCTGACTGTAAGACGTTTTTACGTACAAGATATTAAATACAATGTAATAAATTTCTATTATTATTTTTAAAAATCATATGAATGTGATATAGTGAGTTTAATTTAAAATTAAATGTTGCAAATTCTAAAATAGTTTTCTAAAAAAATTAAACCAAACTAATGTCTGGATTTTTAGCGAAAGAAAATTTAATTTTGTGTGTGTATTGTAATGTGCATCGGACCATATAAAATGAAGCCCTATGAACTTTTTACCATTTTGGGTATAATTTCACTGATTCAAAGTAAGTTTTTTAACTAAAGTAAATTTAAATATTAGGTCATTATAACTTATATATACTTTTAGAGCCGTGGCAGCTCAGATGTTTAGCGCTCGCTGTAAATTTCACAGTACGCGAACAACCCGGGTTCGATCCCCGTCGGTACCAATGAAATTGTTAATTGCAATTTTATGTGCTGATTTACCACGTGCCCGGCGGTCACCGTGAGGAAACCATTCACCTGCATGCCTTAGAAATAAGAAAAAAATATTTCGAAGACATGTGAAGTTCGTCAACACGCATTGGGGCAGCGCGGCGGACACTTCCTTGCCCTAAAACCTCAACTCAACAATAAGGGAAGGCCTGTGATCAGCAGTGGGACGTATATAGGCTGTAACTTTTTTTGTACATATTTTATAGATGGTAGGACACTTTTTTGTCTCCGAGTCTCTTCTGCCTCCAAACAGTAGATCTTGCACTGGTGTGCCCTGTCTGGAGGTGGAGGTTATTGAGAGCTAGTACAATAAATCCTGTGCGACATTCCATGTAAGTCCTTAGAAGTCACAACGTATCTATAGCGTATAGTGGAGCTGAAGACAGTAAAACTTTTTGTTACAGTTAGGAAGTAAACATGATGCATAAGATGTAGGCTGGCATACAGCTATACCAAATGGCACATCTTTTAATATATAAAAAATAATGTTTTTGGTCGTATTTTATATGCTGCCATACCGTTCAAGAGATTGCGATAAAATTTTGTCAACACAACGTATCTGAGGCCCGGTTTACAGACAAGTGCGAGTGGCAAGTGCAACTGACAAATGACAAGTGCTTTGTGCGTGTGGCTCGGTTTACATTTTGGGAAGTGACAAGTGCGATTGGCAAGTGCAACTGATAAATGACAAGTGCATACTGCGTGTGAACAGGCAGTGACAAGTTATAAGTGTGAATAAAATTCGCACTAAACACTTGTCATTTGTCAGTTGCACTCGCCACTCGCACTTGTCACTTCTCAAATTGTAAACCGGGCTTTTTGTTTAAAGTTGACTGCAGTAGGTGTCCATCTATTCCACTTACCATTAGTTGGACTATAGGCTCGTTTATCGCTTCAATTTTATTAAAAAGGGTATATTCATTATTTGTAACCATCTTATGAGATGAGAGGGAATATAAAAATTTATCAGAACCTCTGGCGACCAAATTAAGACTGAAAATCCATCAAGAAATGCAAAAGTGTTATGACCAGCGAGTTGCGTATACGGTATACGTATATAGCGCATACGTAGCTCGCTGAGCATAATCTACTATATAATTTATTAGAGTTATTATTTATTTTAACAGACGTGGCTTCTGCAGATCTGTAACTGTTATATTATCATTGTATAGGGGCAGGTGACTGCCTCTTTAGTCTGGTGGTCAAAAGTGCGGCTTCAGATCATGTCAGGACCACATGTTCGATTCCTGAGACTAGTTGTCAAAACCGAAATTCGGTCTGGAGGACTATATATGGTATAGGTACTCTGTAAATAACACCGAATCATTGTGTTATTAATTTTATCCAAGTACTTCATACACGTATACTCATGGAATCAAAAGGGAAATTTGCTATTTCTTAAAGTAGTAAACTCACTTACGCGTGGTGTAGGTACCCTGCCGTTTGATGGACGAGATATTGATATTGAAAGTATATCTAAAATTTAGATTGCCGTACCTAATTCTCACAGTCTGGATGTGGGAACAACCCGCACATACAGCGCGTGTTCGATTTAATCTTAAAATGTGTTATTATTTTATTTAAAAAGTCTAAAAAACCAAGCTAGAATGCATATATATGTGCACAGCTCATAAGTACTATGTACCTAGATGTTATGAGTTATGAGTTTATGTTATTCTTTTAAAGTGCATGTTTTACTATCACGCTAAAATTAAAAAAAAAATATTTTTATTATATACATAAGTACCTATTTATGTAACTTTTTATTTCGATTATTATTAATTATAATGAAATGACATCCTGGTAGATATTTGCTTATTTTTTTAATTGAAATTGAATATACTTCATGATCCTTCAAGGTGCTTTGGCATGTAATGTAATCGAGTATACTTGTTCGATTTTATTACCTGTGCACGATTATATCATTACGAGTATGTCGCATCAACATTAGGCAGTCGTTCTATTTTTTCCTTGCTTCAACTTCATTTGTGTGTAGTCTTAGATACTGAAATTTATAAACAAATTTTTAGTCTTTAAAAAGGGTCTTCTTACGAAATACAACAGCATGGTGCTGCTATTTGACGCTAGTATTATGTATGTACGAGCGTAGCCCTTTCCCGGTCGAGCTAGCCAAAACACTTTCCAGGCTCCACCACTTTTAAAATTTTATAAAATTTCTTCAATTCTTCTTCCATCCCTGATCCCGTTATTTGGGGTCGGGTCTCCTCACTTGTCTGCGCCAAGACATACAGTCTTGGGTTGTCACGTCCGGCAACTGGGCTTTCCTTAGGTCTCTTGCGATATTAGACCACTCATCAGGTCAGGTCAGGTCATTGGCGAGCGGCCTCTACTTCTCTTTGTTTCTGACAAGTTTAGAGCTATTTGAACCGCATGATCTTCGCTGCGTCTTTTAATATGCCCATACCATCTTAGGCGATTTTCAATGATTTTATCTGTAATAGGTGCGACTTTAAAGCCGCCACGTATATGTTCATTACGGACTTTGTCAAGCCGAGTCACACCTCCCGGCCACCTAAGCATCTTCATTTCGTTAGTATGGACCTTTTGCTCATACGTCTTTTTAGTTGTCCAACGTTCGGAACCATACAATAGCGCGGGACGTACTGCGGATTTATAAACTTCGCCCTTAATTTTTATGGGAATACGTGGATCAAATAATACCCCTGTAAGTGATCGCCATTTCAGCCACGCGGCACTTATCCTACGAGCCACGTCTGTGTCAACGTTCGCATCTGTTGTAAGCAAGAGCCTTAAATTAATCTACCGTAGGAATAGGTGTTGTCCCAATACAGATAGTTTCAGATACCGTGTTTCCGCTAGAAGGGCAATACAAATACTCAGTTTTACTCCTACTAACCCTCAGGCCGTACTTTTTAAGAGCTAGTGTCCACGTATTAAGAGTTTAAGACGTATTAAGTTTTTTTAAGAGACAATGTCATCCGCGTATAGAACAGTCCATGGCAATGGGGCAGTTATATCTTTTGTGAGGTAGTCCATCACCAGATTGAATAGAACTATATAATTATTGGATAGAATATAAAATTTCTTTAATATAGAACTGATTAAAATAGTTAGCTAATATGCCAGAATATGAAATTTTAGTATTTAATATACGATAGTTATACTTGGCAAAGCCACGCTATAGCAATATTATGGTTGCAGCACGAATGGGTTAGCTCGACCGGGGCAGGACCACGCTATATTTTGTTCTCTCTCACTCTAGATTTTGTTGAACAAAGTCTCGGACTTGGATCACCTAGTCCAGTTCAATTCCCAAAATATACAAGTTTGCGCGCTTACCGTTAAAAAGAAACCCTTCGTCGTATCTCCTCAGTGTCAAGACACTCCCCTTGTTGCCTTAGCCAGTATCGGAATCCTCGTCGTTGACATATCGAGTGACTTGCATTTTTTGTGTTCACTTGGAAAGGAAGGCCAAATTGGCCTTTAAAAATCTTGGCAGCAGAGCGGGACAGTGTTTCATGCCGGCACACCGCACCGCCTGCAATTTAACAAGGCGCAGGTCCGGCCACACAATGAATACTGTTCCCATCTCCGGGCTTGGGCTTCCTGGGGCTAGCTCCTTCCATTTAATCGCATCAGACGCATAGCCGTTCGAATCTTCGGCGACCCAGCTCATTCCGATCGGCTTGCCTCACTAGTACTGCGAAGTGATGATCTCTTTGCGTATTTTATCGCATTTACCACGGAGAGTACTCTGAGGAATTGTTTGGACTAATTGCAGTCGCACAATTTCACCATCGCGCATTGCGACAAAACTTGCAACACTTCCTTTTGGAATAAACTTTCACCATAGATTTTTACGACTTAGGTACCTTCAAGAAAAAGCCTACACGTTTTTTAAAGGCAGTTAACGCACTGCTTGGCACAGAGCTCTCATTTACTGAGATAGTTATGGAGCAATTTGTCCATCACGCTGCTCCGTAAATATTGGCGAATCTCAAATGTCCTTCCCACCTGATGTCCACATGATAGTGAGGACGGATAAATCTGGGGGCCGGAAATTTCTAGCGGTTTGAAAAATCACCAGTGGTAGATACGATTCCACAAAGAAATCTTGCGAGGAATCGTACAAACATAGTAGACCACCAAGTAATCAGATAGTGTGGGTGGTACCGTGTTTTTAGACCCGATGTGCGTGGGTGGAATTTGGCGGCTGGAATAAATCCAAATAATTTGTGTAAGTACTTCCTTCGTCAATCGCCTTCGAGCCGACCAGAAAGAGTTCGGTCATCGACGATTCGAGCCACTCTTCGCTGGACGCAGTCAAGTGAAAGGATCTGAAACTGAAGTGCCCCGTGTACAATACGACATTGATGTGCCGATCTGATAAAAACTGCTGATTTAATTGCACAATTTTTCGGGAAGTCCATAGGAAGGAAGAAAAGAAGCGCTTTGTTCCAAAGTTCCAATTAAAGATCTTCGTTATATCCAAAATAGTGACCAAGGCCGTCCTCTTGGACTCTACTACTTCCGCTCATCTATTAGTCAGATAAATTAGAAAGTTAGAACTACAACCAGCTGAGTGCATTGGTGGTCACTAATCGGCTGCTGGTCTTCGAGATAACTTATGAGCTGGCAGTTTATAAGGGATTCCATTATTTTGGAGAACAAGAAGGTGATTGTGATACGCCCGCAGTTGGACGGCTCTGAGCGGTCACTTTTTTAGGGATCGGGTGCATTAAATCTGTCTATTTAATAAGTACAGGATTACGCCCAGAGAGTAGGAGTTCCAAAGGGAAAAGACGCGTTAGAACTGATGCTGACTCTA